GAAGAGTCCAGAGATTAAAGGATTAAAGGACTGTCTCAGGCTGTCTGAGTTTCCCAGAGCTCTCTGTTTCTATTTTAAGCTGAACATTTGGCTTCCCTTGTAGCCTCGAGTGAGCCATTTTAGTTCCCTGCACCACTTTTCTACCATTTGGTAAAAAGGGATCATAAGACTTGCTGCTGGGTATTGCACATAAAGTGCTCTGAGGAGCTTGGAGGGTAGATAGGCTTCTCGAGGGAAAAGCTGTCAGCATGTTTTCGCCTGATCCCCAGATATTTTCAGTGTCTGCTACCCCTCATTAGAGCATCTGGTCCTCTCTCAGAGAAGTCAGATGAAAGTCAGAATAAATGGAGCAGAGAGGATCCCTTCTCTTGCCTCTGCTGCAAAGGAGATGTCAAGTTGAGTGATGAATGATTACTATTCTTCACTTGCTAACACTTTGTACCCTATTTTCAAATTAAGGAGCACATTGTTGGCACGCCTGAAAGGTTAAACACTCCCACTTTGTTTCTACAGTCACTAATTGGTGCTTTATCATAATTTCCATAGAGGGAACGTTTTGTCTGCAAAATAATTCCTCTAAGAGCTGGGTGAGACGTTCAGAGCATCTCGAGTTTCTAAAGTTAGATCATAAATCAATCTCCTGATTGTAAGATGATGTTACACCTAAAAAGACCCCATCTGTTAATTGTCTACAACTTTAAAATACATCAGAAAATGAAGTAGAAGGATGCATTTTTTAAATTCCTTTTAAAATTCTTCCCTTTTCAATGACAAGGGGACTCATTTTTCTCCCTCCCTCATCTATAGAATATGATATAGAATTTTGCCTTTTCCAAAGTATTAGGAGGCAAGAAGGGTGGGCAACTGGAACTCTCATAATGCTGCCAATGTGAGTGCCAAACAATTTCACTTTGGAAAACAATCCTCAGTATTGAAAATTGCTAGACATTTTTTGTTAGATATATGTCTAGAAGTGGAACTACTGGGCCCCATAGGGATATTTCTAGAAGTATATCAACCAGAAATACCTGCACATTTTAGGCACATATGAGAATGCTTTTAATTCACCAAATCTGGCAACTACACGCATGTCCATCACAGGTACAATGGATAAATTAAAGGGGTATTCACACAGTAGGATACTACACAGCAATCAGAATGAACAATCTACATCTAGACACAACATGGTGAACCTCACAATCATAATTTTAAGCAAAAGAAGCCAGACAAAAAAAGAGTCCATAATAGCTTCTAGGGAGCTGGTAATTTTTCTGATTTTTGATCCATGTGCTGGTTACATGAGTGTTTTTAATTTGTGAAAATGTATTGAAATTTGTGAAAATGTACTATGCTTCAACAAAAAAGTTTTTAAAATATATGCATATAGAAAAATTGCAACAACAAAAATCAGAATAGCAAACCTCCACCTAAACTTCCATATACACCTTGCTGGCTGGGGTGAGTGGGGAGGAGCCGCAGCTACCAGAGCCTGGGTGGCCCTGCATGACCCCTGTGTCATGACTACCATGACTTAAAAAGTGAGAGGCGACAATTCTTTGGTCTGGCCAGGCCAGCAGACCTGCTCTGCAGACCCAAGTTCCCTTTCCGTGAGGAAGAAGCAGGAGCCTTGTCTGGCTGTAGCCCAAACCACATTCTCTGGTCCACTGCTGCCAGCAACAGAGGTGCTATTTTGATCTCGAATCCCATTGCTTGCATCTACTTCTCAACTGATTCCTGATTCCAAAGATGGAAAGGGAAAAGGTATGATTAGCTATCACCCCTTAAACCTCAATAACATCTTTCTCAGCAGTTAAGAAAGAATAAATGTAATGCTTTTCTTTTCTAGAACATTAAGACCAGAGGCTGTGAGTTCTTAATGCTGGGGTCTGAGGAATTGATGACTGCCCCTTTGGAATGATAGCAACTGGATAATTAGAAAAGAAAAATGAGATTATCTAATCTCCTTTCTATAATATTCCCCTGCAATAACTGAAGACACTGCTTTTCTGTGTGCGACCTGGGGTGGGGATTTAGAGTGGTTAATGTAATGCCAGAGATCATTCCTTTGCTCAGTTAGATAACACAGTCACCATCTGCTATACATGGGGGAAATACGGTACATTTTACAGCTCCTCCCATCAAGAGGTGGAGTTTATTTCTCTATTCCTCAATCTGGGTGTGGTAATGTGACCCGCTTCAAACAATGGGATGTGCCAAACAAGATAAGTAGGGGCTTGAAAAGTGCTGCACAACTGGGTAAGTCCTCTCTTGCTACTGGAACACTTCCACCACCATGTGAAGAAGCCTGGGTTAGCCTGCTGACGGATAAGAGACCACATGGAGTGAGGCCGCAGCCATCCCAGCCATTGTCCCAGAAATACAGGAGAGATCATCTTTTGAGACAGAAGAGCCAATCCTGTCCCTCACAACAATTTAAAAATCATTCGAGAGCAATAAAACAAATGAAATCACCATTATGTGAATAATATCCTTTAAAAATTTTATAAATAAAACTGATAGTTTTATTTTCATTTTCAATTTTACTTCAGAGCCACATGTATGTACCCAAAGAGCCTCACGTGGCTCGCGAGCCGCAGTTTGCCGACCCCTGTCCTAGACCATCCAGCTCCTGCTATGCTGCTCAGCTGCTAGATACTGCCTTTCTGAAAGAGCAACCTAGATAGCCCACAGAATTTTGAGAAATTTAAAATATGTTACCACTCCACACCTATTAGAATGGACAAAATCCAAAACACTGATAATATGAAATGCTGACAAGGATGTGGAACTCTCTCATTCATTGATGGTAGGAATGCAAAATAGTACAGTTACTTTGGAAAACAGATTGGTAGTTTCTTACAAAACTAAACATACTCATCATATCACATAGCAATTATGCCCCTGTGTATTTACTCAAATGATTTAAAAATTGATGTCCACACAAAAACCTACACACAGATGTTTAAAGTGCTATTCATAAAAACAACCACAACAAAAAACTCTATTTATANCGACATCCTCCACAACTAGACTGAAGAACAAAAGGACAGCAACTTGTCTGTTCCCCTTCCCCGATTCCCCAACACTGTTCTCTTCCCCCAATTCCCCAATAAAAAATCTTAAAAAGAAAAAAAAGAGTGTGGATGAAAAAGTGGTGCTGTGATAAATTTAATAGAAAGTAACTTCACAGGGTTATCTGATCATAAATTCCTAACTGGGCAGTCATGGTGGGTAGTCATGCCCCAGGCCTATAACTTCTTTAGTGAAGGGTTTTTAAGCAAGCCTAGCCCATTGTTCTTATGCATCTAGGTTAACACACCTTTGAAAAGTCAGAGTAATCCTCTTTTCCAGGTCCCTCAAAGGCATAACCACCCTAAAGACAGCACATAATCTTGTTAACTATTCTGCAATCCAATCCCCACCTTTCTTTCTCCCACCCTCATGTAATTTCCCTTAGTTCCCTCCTTAATTTTAAATGCATAAAATAAACTGTAAAATGTCATTCTCCAGAGTATTTGAGATCTTGTGTCCTGTCATCAGTTTTGGCTCAAATAAACTCATAAAATTCTATACAGGTTTGGACATTTTTTTTTTGTAGAGGGCAGTGTCACTGGCCCTCACATGTGGGATCCGAACCAGGGCCCTCTGGCGTCCCAAGCCAGTTCTCAACCATCGCGCCACTTGGCCAGCCCTGGTTTGGACATTCTTATGTCAACAAAAGGAAGATTTCAACAGGCAGGTCAGACATGCAGAGCATAGTGTGGTTCACGCAATTCTTTTATAAATATGTGAAATATAATCACCAATTCAGTACCTCTCACAGTGACTAGGGGCTTGCTATGCAACTACCCCAAGCTGAACATTTTTGTAAATTTTGTTCACAACACACTAAGAATCTCTCTCTCCCTATTCTTTCAATGGCCCTGTATCAGTCAGCTATAACATAATGTGCTGCATAACAAACCACCACAAAACTCAGTGGCTCAAAACAATAAACAATCATTTCTTGCTTACATGTTTGTTGAGAGGTTAGGAATTAGCCAATGTAGTCTGGGCTACACTCCAGGCTCCAGTGTCTCTCATCTTCCTTGATCAGCAGGCTCCCTGGGGCATGTTCTTTTCATGATGATGACCACAACACAAGAAGGCATGACCTCCTGCACAAGTACATTTCAAGATTTTGCTCACTTTGTCTCTGCTAAAATTCCATTAGCCAAAGCAAGTTACACAACTAATCCAAATAATCACAAGC